CAGACCTATCCCTCAACCACAGGACCCCCACGACCGGCTGGTTGGTATTTCCTGCCTTCTTGAGGATCAATTGTGTTGCCTCCGAGCTGCTCTCGCTTCCCAACCGAGCATCCGCTACTTCATGTTGACGCTGTCGCAGTTCCCGCACTCGATGCAACCCAGCAACAGCAGCGTTCAAAGAAGAAAACGTTGGAAGTGGTACAATATTTCGTTTTAATTCTTCCATCAGACTCTTACGGTTGACCCACCGAGCACGAGAATCCCGTCGTGCGTGTTCCCCACCCCCTGCATCTGCACCAGGAACTCCGTCTTGATCCTTCTCGCCGAATCGTTCTCCCCCTCCGATCGGCTCCCGCACATAGAGTCCACCTCGTCGATGAAGATGATCGACCGCTCGTGCTGAAACAGAAAACGTGCGAGAGGCAAGAGCACATGAATGAAAAAATATATATTAGTACAAAAAATGAAGGTATGTGTTACGCTCCAGGTATCGCATTCTTAGACCATGACATATAATACTTCCAAGCACTGGGGGAACCCCTGGGTACATATTGTAGACAGCAGTAATTAGTAATAGTAGTTGTTGCTCACCAATAAAGTTCGAGAGGGGAGCGTCTCTCAGCGGTTGACATGCGACGGAACTTCGGAGGGGTGACGCACCGAATACACGCCAGAGCGGTTTCCGTAAACTACATGTAGGCACCAACAACACACCGGCATCGCTTAGACACGTTCATTATTCTCGGTGCTTGGGTCTACTGGTAGCTTGTTTACTTGCTGTATTCGTTCAACAGCTGTCAATACACATACTCTGATTACTTGGCATTTTTTTCACCTCGCGGGCCAGCTCAAACAGGTTGCGGACCAACTTCTCAGACTCTCCCTGCCATTTGCTGACCTGCCAGACAAGACACGATATCGATATCGTTAAAAAAAATACGCGGAGAACGGAGAACGGGTGGGCCAGTGGGTAACAAAAAAAAAAAACTCAACATGTAGAGGTCAGGATGTATGGGACATTCATGAGGTACAGACGCATCAGGAGTACAGATCTGTGAGATGTTTGTGGTACTAGATCACTGTTTCTTCCGAAGGATCTCTTCTGACTCTCAACACCAGCATTACTCCATAAACATACGTATCTATTTGGTCGCGGCAAGCGAAAACGCTGAATGTGGGACCTGTCGAGTCGATCGAAAAAAAAAAACATATCCGCGCCTCTCCTCTCCTCTCCGCTGCTAACTCCCTTGTTTGAGAAAAATGTGGCCAAAATGTCGAGCGCGTTGAACGGTATGTAGCAGTATTTCTACAGTAGAGCAAGAACAAATGCCGCTGCGTCCCGACCTCCTTTCCTAGGGCCTCTCTCATATCTCCCCGCCTCCACTCTCGTAACACACACATTCATCCCCACAACCATACAACCCCCCCCCCCCCCCCCCTTCCCGGCCTGGGGATTATCCCCCCCATTTATTTTTCTCTCTCTCTCTCCCCCCCCCCCGGGCCCCGTTAGTCTTCTATTTCTGGGTTTCCACCGCTTCTTTTTCTCTGCCCCTCCCCCCCCCTCCTATAGTCTTCTGTTCCTGGCTTTCAACCACTTCTCTCTCTCTCTCTCTCTCTCTCTCTCTCACTCCCCCTAACTCACCAGGTCCGACGACGACACGGCAAAAAAAACAGCGTCCGACTCCGTCGCCACCGCCTTGGCGAGGTAAGACTTACCCGTCCCGGGAGGCCCGTAAAGCAAGATGCCTTGCACCGGGGGGGGGGGCAAACCAACATCATCAAAAATACAACAAAATCCAGACATGGGTTAGGGGGAGACGGATGTTGGGAGGGCAGTTCACACGACTGAGCTAGACCAAAGCTCTTTATCGATCGCGTCATGGATGATGACGTCATGGACGAACGAAAAGCACACAAAACAACAGGAGCAGCAGCAGCATGCCAAGACCACAAAAAGGTGCACATATCCTCTTTTGCGAGTCCAATATCTACACCGAGACAAAAAAGCGATTGCTGTGCTTCATTTCGTGCACGCACGCAGCATTACATACAATACGCTTCGGCGTGCAATGACAGTCAAACCATCAAGACATGGGGTGCCGATGACCTACAGGTACCCTTGCTCCCTAATATATTCCCCTCGCCAGCAACCAACACACCACGCCGCGTTTTTGCGCAAGTCCGGCGCCTCACTCCTGTTCTTCTTGTTGACAACCGTCACAGGTTAACCAGCGACTCGTCATCGACGTCATCCTCGCGCTACAGCAGGAACCCCTAAAATCCGAATGCACCCACAACATAATGCCACCAACAAAGAAAAGCCAAATTCTCTACCCTCTCCACAGAGGCTCAAGACCCAGTATCCAAACCAGGCGTAGCGGGACGAGATCGAGTTGAAGGGTTTTCCGCGCTCACGCTAAACTCTCCTCCCTGCCGAGAACCGCCGGAGGTCAACCAGCGATTCCCCCGCATCGAACGTGATCCTCACGCTCAAAAAAAAAAAAACACAAAAAAAAACTCACCCTTCCACGGCCTTCGCTTCCCGGTAAAAAGCTGCGGAAATTTCGCAGGCAAAATGACCGCTTCCTTGAGCGTGCTCTTCGCCTGTTCCAACCCGGCCACGTCGCTCCACTTGACGTTGGGCTTCTCCGAAACGATGGCTCCCGCCAGGGCGCCCCGCAGCTTCTTCTGCTCTTCGTCGCCCCCCCCGTCCTGCTTCTTGTCCGCCGCAGACGCTGTCGCGGCGCCCCTATACACGCGAGGCACGGGAGCAGCAGCCCCCAAGACAAGACAAGCATGGGGTAGCGAGATACTTCGTTGTGCTTAGTGCGGTTATTGGATGTGTGGTACGGTTTTTTATGTCCATGTGGGCATGTCCTTCACCCCAAGGATGCACACAGAGCAAAGACAAGAAGAAATGGTCTGAAAGGCAGTTCTAAATAGGTAGCAGCCGCCCTCAGCTCTTCCGCAGCGTCAACGTGGATTCGGTACTCTCGCGGCATCCCCAACTCACACTCAACCACACCCACGATTCCCCAGACGTAATTGTGCTTCGCGGGCAAAACGAACGGTCGATCTGTCTCCTGTGTACAATTGACCGGCGTCACTTTGCGAGCATGCCGACGGACGAGTTAGTCTCATTGGAACTCCGTCAACAACAGCCCCCCCCCCCCCCCAGCACCAGAAAATAAATTAAGTCATACGTAGCTGTCATCCGTACGCAAGGAAGTAAGCACAAGATGCCGAACACCCTTAGCAGGATGCAGCTCACCCTTCATGCGACTCGCCAAATACCTCACGGCGCTTCGCGCTTGGTGATGTGAGAGCCTGGTCCGGTGAGAACCCGGCGTGCTTCGTCCCGGCTTTGTAGGGATGCGAGATCAATGGTCAAACGACTACGGCATGCACGACTATGAGTACACGCCCCCCCCCCCCCCCCCCCCCCCCCGGGTTTGGGGGGAAAACCCTCCCTCCCCTCCCAAAACCCGGGGCCAAAATGGGAAAACTAAAGGATGGGGGATCCCCCCCCCCCCGCCTTTTAAGGGTGCCAAGGGAGGAAAAAGGGCCAACCACCACCGGATGGGTTTTAATGAATAACCCCCCCCCCCCCTCTCCCCCCCCCCAACGAATTTTCTAAAACGGTTGCCCCCCCAAGAAGATGGGGGCCACCTAAAAACCAACGAAATTTTCCAAAAAAATTTCCCAAAAAAGAACTTTCTAAAAA